ACGCTTAGACCTAGGAACTTCAAACTTGGTTTGATCATTGGTCATGAACAGCATGTGAACCCTATAGGTTTTGGGGTGAAGGGGTCAAAGGTCAAGGTCACATTGACCTTGTAGGTAAAAACGGTTGCCTATTAATTACTAAAGAACGTTTAGGCCTAGGAATTTCAAACTAAGTACGATGATTGATCATGACCAGCAAATGACCCCTATTGATTTTGGGGTCAATGTGGCAAAGGTCAAGGTCACATTGACCTTGAAGGTAAAAACTGTCACTGATCAATAACTGAAAACTCTAAGCTCTAGGAACTTCAGTCATGGTATGATGATTGTTCATGACCAGCAGATGACCCCTATTGATTTTGGAGATAAAGGTCAAGGTCACATTGACCTCGTAGAAAAAAATCCGATCAATAACTAAAGAACGTTTAGGCCGAGGAACTTCAAACTTGGTATGATGATTGCTCATGACCAGTAGATGATCCCTATTGATTTTGGGGTCAAGGGGTCAAAGGTCAAGGTCATATTTATCTTGTTGGTAAAACGGTTGACGATCATTAACTTGACAACCCATAAGCTGTTGGCCCCCAAACTTCTTAGGTGCATTTGACTTGACAATAATATGACCCTTATTGTTATTGGGGTCAAGGAGTCAAAGGTCAAGGTCATATTAATCGTGTAGGTGTAAACGGTTTTCGATCAATAACTTGACAAACCCGTAGCTGCTGGCCCTCAAACTTTGTAGGTGCATTGGTTTTGGCCAGTAGAGGACATCTATTGATTTTGGGGTCAAGAGGTCAGTGTCATATTGACCTGGTACTTAAAGACCGTTTCTGATCAATAACTCAACAACTCAAGTTCCCTTGGTTGATATTTTTATATTAAACTAAAAATGCTTTTTGTATACATATTTGAAGGTCTTATGTAATATAACAACTTGCCTGTCATTAATGAGGCCTACATGATTCATGAAATCTATGCATATATTACTTGGTAATATATGTAATAACTTAAATTGCTGCACACAACCTATACGAATACAATGATTATTACCTTGTGACAAGTCATGGCCAGTAGATAACCCTTATTAATTTTTGTTCACTAGGTCAGAAGCCATGCATAAAAACCTGATCACATGACTTATTGGCTGCCGATAGGGGGCATACATGTTTTACAAACATATCTTGTTTAAATATGTGTGTGTGCTTCTATAGTGAATAATTATGTGTGTATGGTAAGTAATCTATATAAATATGCTTGACCGTCCACTCGTTAAGCTGCAAGATAACCTTTTTGCTGCGTCAGTGTTTAATTATTGGAGGGGTCTGATGAGTGTTGAGAATGATTGCTGGCGGCATACATTTTTGCGTATCAAATTGAAGTTATTAATCTCATATAATTCTAAAATCATTAAAACTACTCTTTAAAAATTGTCATGCGCGTACTCCACTACAAAATACTTTACTAACACGATAAATTAAGATAGGGGTGAACAAATCTGTTGGAGACAAAACCGAAAATATCATTTACGTTACATTTAACACTATAAAATGTGCTTTATTCTGTTTAAAACCTTTAAACTGTATAATTTTGTTATATTTATTGTTTTCTGAATAGCATTTTACTATGCTATGTTTTGAAACATAGTACAACAACAAACACTATATAGCTACAATATAACCACGCACTATAACATGAACCTTGTACAACAAGTTTGCTGCTCCTTAAACTTTGTAATACCTGATCGGTTATTCCTAACAGAGACTGGACTGATAGAACTAGCCGATTACAAACTATTCTGTCTACATGTATTTATGCTTTTATTTCATAATTAAACAAATCTTACACAGCTTCAGAGAGAACTTTCACATAAAACAAATTTGTATCTCATAAAATCCGGCTTTGCGATTTTCAACTATTTAATTTGTGTCAATGGTTTCTTGGGTGATCCGCTTTCCACTAATCTTTAAATCCTATTAAGTTATTAATTTATCGTTACTATGTTCTACCGAGTTTTTTTCTTTTGGTACATAACCATTTTATATACATATTTTAACTTGAATAACATGTGTTTTAACTGATTTTTTTTACATAATTACCAATTCCATTAATTTAACATTTGGTATATTAACAGCTCAATGAATATCATTTTTATGATGGTCAACCCATGTCACCCAAAAAAAATATATTTCTTTTTTTGTGGTTCGGTTTTTTACGTGGCACCAACACCGACCTTTATTAGGGTAATTGGATAGGTTCCTCAAATGAAAAAATCCAAAGTCTCTGTCGGGATTTCAACTCTCACTGGTCTGTGATTTGAAGATCTTAACGATTCGGCCACGGACGCCCTTAAAGAGAGATATCAATGAAACACAAAATATATCAGGAGAAATTGTTAAATTAGACAATTGTTTCCAGATTCATAGATAACAGAAAAAAACGAGTCTGAGTGGATTAATTTTAAAAATAACAGTTATTTCTAATAATGTTCACCTTAATATGGTACACATTCGGCAATATTGCTGCAATACATTTCAGTATAAGTGTTCTTGGAGCTGCTGTTGTAAAGAAAATGATATTAGAAAAAAATAAGAAAACTAATTATTCAAATGTTATGTTGGGAATATAAAACACAATAAATAATATGGTCGTATAGGTACAAATTTTATCCGGGATAAGCCGTTGCTCCGTTGAGCAATACATTTTACATTATTTTATTGCTTATTATTTCAAGATAATAAGATAATAGCTTATAGCTACCAGCACAATTAATTTATTCGTATGAACCAAACTAAACTAGAGTAATAATTTATACTTATATGACGGTAGCTATCAATAAGGGATACGCACTACTTGATTATCTTAAAATAATTCATTGAACATTTACAGAAGAAGTTATATAAAGTATGTAACAGTAGACAGGATCTCATGTAAGATGAGATGAGCACATGCAGCAAAATTATTTGATTTCTTTTTAAATTGACTACGTTATTATTTCTGTATATAACAAACCCATACCTTTATTTACAGATCTCTTTAAAGTAATAAAAAATCAGTAAAAGTACTTCTTGAAATATGCTTATCACAGTGAAAAGAGTTGTTGACATACATATAGAATTATGTTTTTATTTTGAAAATAAGATTAAATAATAAATTTCTTAAAGTATTTATTGAGAAAATTTCTTGATCATTTCTACGCCGCATTTTAGAGCGATCGAAAGGAATACTTGTATTGTTATAACAAACGTCGCAGGTACAACGAAGTAATAGTTTTGATAATGGATTATGGAATTTGCAGAACAACTTAATATAACTAATCTACAAAAAAAAAGATATAATCAAGCAATCTGAAGCATGCATGCTAAGCTTAAAATCCATAACGTAATATTATCAGTTTTGTTTATATACATGTATTTGAAAGTATTTGCTCCATGTTTAGTAATTTTTACATATTTAATACTTTTTAAAATACCCACGTCCCTCGTTTTTTATAGTCGTTTCAACTACGTAAATGAAACAGTTGTTGTGAGTGCAAGTTTGGTATTATGGTATGGCACAGACGTGTCACATAGAGCGTCCATGAAACTTGTTTCTCTTTTTCACGTGGCATACAATAGTAAATGAATAATTGATGCACAAAAGTTATCAACCTTGCTTAGTTGTATTAAGCCTGTTCATGGATACTACATGGATACAATATTTATAAATACATGTATGACTCTAAGCAATACAAAATATTAAGAAGGTCGCGTATTAATTATAAATATTCATGACCACTATATTAAAAACTTGGTAACTCAAAACAGACACTCCATTGCGACACTTATCATAATTATGAAACATGTTTTAAATGCATTTATAAGGATATTAAAGTCAATGAGTGATGTAAACAATATGGTAATGTTTAAGAAGTACATTGTTTCTATGATTAACTTACTATAAATCATAAAAGCCATTTACTCTAGATATTCGGTAATTATACGAGTCGTAGTTCTGGTGCATGTATTATAAGATGTTGGTATTGTACGACATTAATGCACTTGCCCCCTCATTGCTGTAAGTTCGAATCTCGCCAGAAACATTAGATTTATTCATGTAAGAAAGCTATCCGACTAGCTTACGGAACGTCGGTAATCAAAAGCACGATTGTGTCTGAAACAATGTACGGAGGAGCACCTGTGGTATTCCACAACTAAGAAAGCTGGAAAGTCACTATATGAACATAAAACATCATTTGAGCCGCGTCACGACAAAACCAACATAATGGGTTTGCGACCAGCATGGATCCAGACCAGCCTGCGCATCCGCGCAGTCTGATCAGGATCCATGCTGTTCGCTATTAATTTCTCTACTTGTTAAAGGGTCTGTAAGCGAACAGCATGGATCCTGATCAGACGGGCTGGTCTGGATCCATGCTGGTCGCAAACCCATTATGTTGGTTTTTTCGTGACGCGGCTCATTTATATATCAGAAGTAATAGTTTTAACTGTCCAGCGTTATCTTCTCAGACAATTCTACGTAAACTTTAGTTTCATGCACATCACTAACCACGCTTGGTCCAACTAAGCTTGAACAGACTCATTTGTTTTTCAATTTTGACTTGTTGCATCTTCTGCGTTCTTTCCAATTCTTATTTTACATTATATTCTGTGTACTTCGTATTAGAAACCTTTACTTGCTAACATATATTTACTTTACAAAATACATTTAACTGTTCAACTTGATATATATTTTGATCTCATTACAAAAATTTACAAAATTCCTTTTATAAAATGTTTGGCAAAACTTATACATGTAGTATGCATCATTATTATAATAATTGACATTAAAACAGCTTTTATCATATATTGTCTACATTGTAGAAAATATTCGTAACCTGCAATATGTAGGCACTATATTTAACAAAACGAATAGGATATTATTCTATAAATGAAAGTATGCATATCCGTTATATGTAACTGTTAAAGCTTCAATGATGTGGACATAGAATTATCAACATACAGTTCAATGTTTTATTGCATTTTATACAAGTGTTTAACACAATAAAAATCAGACACATATTCAGCACTTTACAAATGAATAGATCAGTTTCAATTATTTTTGTTTGATAAAATGTAGTCTATTGTCTTTTAATTCAAAATGTTACTCTACTGACGTGAACTTTTAATGCAAGTATTGAAAATTGTTGCTGCTGAGCATTTTGCTTCGCTAATGGTGACTGCTATAATTCCATTACATTGGCTGGACAATTTTTTCAATATTCAGGCTCAGATACTGTAAAAGACAATAAACGAAATGCAATGAAATTATTTCAAAAATAACTTTTATGAAACCAGTTGTAATGTAGAGTAAAAATCTAAAAACAGTTTATACTGATACAAAATAACTAAACTTTTTTATAGACAATTAATTCACAGATACCTTGAATTCTTCAAAGATCCTCATAGTCATGTGAATTAAACACAGTGTTCCTGTTTGGTGCTGAAAAAGAAACCTATCACTTTAATGTTATTCTTGTAATACACAAATGAATTTATACATAATTGGTAATTAATTATGATGGGAATATACAGGTTCCGTTTTAAATACTTGTTACTAATTATTTTTTAAACAACAACAACAACAAACTTTCAGTGCCTGAAAACATACTCTGCTTGTATGTTTAATTTAAAGACTTCTCAAAAGAGAAACAAAATGATGACATAACAATCATATATGAAAAAATGATAATTTAAAACAACATGAATTTATATTTTCATTAACATAATCAAATGAAATAAGATTTGATGCAAAGTATCATGCAAAAAAATGTTAAAGCTTAATGACATTCAAGGTATGTATTTGACGTTACGTACTTGTTATTTACATTGTATTCATAAAGTACGAGACATATGTGAGTATACTATACACAACTGTCTTCTCCTATACAGTAATGATATCATCAGTTACTATGAACCACATATTTTATACTTTTACACTGTGTAATGCTAGTTAAATTTCTTATGTATTTTATAAACGCCAAAAACATTTTTGTGTTCGTTGGCATTTATTCATATATTTTACTGACGGACGTCTTTCGTATTAATGTTTGTTTAAATTTTGACGTCATTTTAGTCCTATTTTTTACTTTTATTCATTTAGATATATAAACACTCGTTACCTTTTACGATATTTCCTGAGAATCGACGAAAGCACAAATGTAATGTTAACAAGTATAGACACAGCAAGACTTGTTCCAAGTAATTTAACAGCTGACTGTTCTGCGGAACAACTCTTAGTGTAGAAATAAAAGGGTTCTACAAGGGTAAAATAAAAAACATAATTAAAAGTTTCGGCATGTTATATATTTATACCATGATATGTGATATGTTTTCAAACATTGCTTACTTATATTAATGTTACAGTATATATAATTATTCTTATCAGCAGCAGCAGCAGCAGCAGCAGCAGCAGCAGCAGCAGCAGCAGCAGCAGCAGCAGCAGCAGCAGCAGCAGCAGCAGCAGCCCTCTTAACCATCATTATTACAATTTTACAGAGGCAACGTAATATGACATTAACGTAATACATAGCTTTAAAATTCTGAACAAGAGCGCACAATACAGTAAAGTATTATTTCTTTCTAAAAATTATTAATATTATTAAACATGTTTACGTTTGTAAATTATAGACCCCAGGGTATAAAAATAAAGAAAATTTTTGAAGGATTTTAATGTACTCAATAAAATGTCACCCGGAAAGTTGATTTGAAAAACTGATAAAATTTTTAAGGTATTTATATTCCTTTTGACCTTGTGCCCCCAATATAGATATTTTTTTCCCAATTTTAGGCAATCATCCTATGAAGTTTGAACACTGTCGCCCATGGAAATTGTGTTTGTCCAAAAAACCACAATTGTCATGCTGGTCTTGTGACTCAAACCCTTTATCTTTATGACCCAAAAAACCAATAGGTCATTATTGGAATGACGTTTCATTTTACGGAAAAATGACCTTTGACCCTTTTGATTAAAATCGAAAGTGGTTATTTACCAAATATTAAAACCATCCTATGAAGTTTTAAAAAACCCTTTAAAAACTAACTTTAAGTTTTCGCTTTTAGAAACCAAATTTTCAATGTAAAAATCATCCCTTTACCTTAGGACATAAAAAAATAGGGGGATGTGTTGGACATGGGTGTTCCGCCCCATAAAATTTTTCACTGTTATAATTTAAGTAATTTTTGCGTTTCATTTTAAGGGAATTTGTGCCTTACCTTTTGATTTTGACCATAAATCAATAAGGGGTTTTTTAAAAATATGGGCACTCATTCTATTAAGTTTGAATATAATGGACCAAATGGAACTTAAGTTATGCTCCGGAAACTTTTTTAAGTTTTTGGTAATAGTGACCGTGACATTTGACATTGTGACCCCAAAATCAATAAGGATCACTGTGGGCAAAAGAAACGTATGTTTTGCTCCAAAAAACACAATTTTCAATGTAAAGATCATTGTGACATAGACCTTAGACCTTATGACCCACAAATCAATAGGGGTCATGCAGTGGACTTGGCTGTCCAGCCTATAAGTCTTTAAGGCCGTAGGTTGACTAATACTGAAGTAATGAGCGAGAACTGAATTCAGTTTTAGGTAATTGTGACCTTGACCTATGACCTTGTGACCCAGAATTAAATAGGGGTCTTCTTCCCAGTTTGAATATTGTGGACCAGCAGGAACTTAAGTTATGCTTCGGAATCTGTTTTCAGATTTATGGTGATATTGACCTTGACCTTTGACCTTGTGACCACTAAATCAATAGGGGTATTCTACTCTATATGGACAATCATTCCATCAATTTTGAATATTGTAGATCAAATGGAACTTAACTAATGCTATTGAAACTAGTGACCTTGACCTTTGACATTATGACCCCGAAATCAATAGGGGTCTTCTACCTAAAATGGACAATCATTCTATGAAGGTTGAACACTTTGGGCAAAAAAGAACTTTAGTAATGCTCCAGAAACCACTATTTTCAATATAATGATCATTGTGATCTTGACCTTTGACCTTATGACCCTAAAATAAATAGGGGCCATGTAATGGACTTGGCTGTTCAGCCTATAAAATTTTACAGTGAAAGGTGGATTAATACTTAAGTATTTGAGCGGAAACTGTTTTCAGTTTTAAGGTAAAAGTGACCTAAGTTTGTAAAGCTCCGGGAGCCAAATTGCTAACGGACGGACGGATGGACGTACAGACGCAAGAGGTATAACATAATATGCCCGAAATTGTTTCGGGCATATAAAAAGGGATTAGCCCTTGAACGCACTGAAAACGATAAGGTTACACTTGCCAGAAAAACATTGATTGCACTTCTGTCCTTCAAAGTTATCAAGACATCCAAATGAGCATTTCCCATTACTTTTTTCGCATTGCTGATTTTTACAGCCAGCAGAACAAGATATGTTACAGTATACTCCATACCAGCCTGTTGAACAATCGTCACATTTATCACCTACGAACATAGCTGTAGTACAACCGTCTGTGCAATCTCCGGAATTCTTTTCACAAACACTACCTTTACACCATGCAGGACATTGTTGATCGCACATGCTTCCATATTTTCCGGTTGTGCATTTATCACATAATTCCCCAGCAAAGTTTGGAAAACAGTCACAATTGCCAGTTAATATATCGCAAGTGTTTGACATGCAACCAGCTGAACACCTGTTCCTACAGTTTGATCCATAAAAACCAGTTTTACAAGCCAAACAACTGTCAAAGGATAAACATTGTATACAGTTATCCCGGCATTTGTATGTACAGTCGTTCAACAAAGAAAGGTTAGTGTTGTCGTTCGGATAACCTATATAATAACCATCCTTACACGATTTACAAACAGTATTCGAAAAACACGTGACACACTTGCCTGGACATAAACTATTGCATAAATTACTGTTATTGTAATATCCGTCCTTACATGATGCACACTGACCATTATCACAATTACAATTTTCAGGACAGTAATGATTACGACAATCATTTTGACCAACGGCGTTATAATATCCCTCCTTGCATGATGTACACGTAGTTCCTGACTTGCATGTTTTACATCCGGGTAAACACTTTGATGTGCAGTCTGCAGCAGAGCCGGGATAATAGCCATCATAACACGCAGTACATGAATCTACATGATCAGGGCATTGTGTACAGTTGTGTGTACATAGTTCAGAGCAGCGTGCACCTCTATGACCATCTATGCAGCCTAGAGTACATTCGTTTGGATACCATTGCCCTTGTTTACATTTTCCTTCTCTACAGCATGCACAATCATCTAAACATTGTTTATCAACCTCTGTAATAAAGTCTTGCTTACTTTAAATACTATCATATGCCAATATGAAATGAAAAGGAATAAGATTATCATTAAAATTTGAATTGCTGAAAAGTTTATGTTGTATTTATAAGATGGTGTGATAATGTCTCATGTAAGCAATATTTTAGATGGAAATGCTAAACAAAATACGTGTTCTTGCTATACCGTTTCGCTATATGCTAGTGTATGCAAAAACGAAACCAAGTGGAGTGTTTACATTTATCATTCGGGCATGTCTACTTATTTTCGATCATGTTTATAGTATGTCTGTCTCTACATGCAATGGATCCAAACAGGTACATCAACGTTGTAACAACGTTGAATTATGGTCAGATTTTAACGTTGAAATAACGTTGGATTTATATTCGGATATGAAAGTTTAAACAGCGTTGAAATTTCTACTTTGACACAACGTTGCAGAAATTTCAACGTCATTTCAAAGTTGAAAAACTACCATACTTTAATTCTAAGATATAAAGCAAGTCACAGAGTTTAACAAAAAAATAAAGACAAATTAAATACTTTGATATTTTATTTCAAAAATGCAGTTCAAGTGCAGCATAAATTCGAACGATTTTAGAAGTCCTTTTACTTCAACAATAAAAGCTACAATCTGTTCTCCTAGATCTTTCAGTGTATGTCTTAAATGTTTCATGATGGTGTTTGAATACTTCTTTGCCTGTCTCTTAATTACTAAAATAAGAAGTAAATATTTAAAAGTGACATGGTCAGTCTAAATTTATAAATATAATTAAACAACTTAGAGATATGTTTTATCTTTAAATGCTTATCTGTAAGATTTACATAATAAAACAGCATGGAAATTGAGATAAAGCTGGAGTTTCATTTTGACAGTACATATTGTATATAAAACAACAAATATTTTTTAAAAAGAAGCTATTTGAAAGTCTCATCTATGTTTGCTATGAAAGTCCGCTTCCCATCAGTTACTTGCAACATTTTTCCAAGAAATAATCATTCTATTCTCTAGCAGCATCCTGAACACAACATATATAAAAAATTTATATTAATAATCATGAAAATAAAATCTATCATTAAAGGGAGACACAGGCAAAAATTTCATTTCTTAGTTTTGATTTTTTTTCATCCCTAATTCTGTAAATGCCCTCAAAATGAATATATTAGACAGTCAAAGGAACAAAACTTTCCTCCATATAAAGAATAAAATGGTGGTTTCCTAACCTGACCCGCGTGGGTTAGGTTAGAGCGCTAGGACTTCACAATAGTTGTTACAGTGAACTCTGGAAACGTTAAAATGTCAAATGAATGATTTTGACTTGTTTCAATCATACAATATCCACAATATCTGTTAATGTAATCAAGGATTTGTTCAAGTCACCTGACTTGTTTTAAAACTATTCGGTGATTCTATGGGCGTCTAGATTTTGTTCAACATATATAGATATATTTATGTGTCAAATCCAAAATATATAGAATTTAAAGAGAAATTCGTGCTGAAACTTTTAGAAATGTCATTTTAGCGCGAGTTAAGTACAAAAGATCATTTTGCTATTTTTGTCATTATTTTGCCTGAATATCCCTTTAAGACTAGATAAATATCCAGTAGTTGAAATATTTATACTTTATAAATAAATCGCTGTAATTAAATGTATTGAATATAAGAATTTCAATTTAACAAATCTGACGGTCTTCTCCTTGTTGAATGTATGGTATAAAGCTGTAGTACGCTCGATTTCAGCCAGGACCAGGATCTAGAATATAAAAAAAGACTTATTATTCCCTATTAATTCACGACAATTACATTTAAAAGTTTAACATTGAACTTTGTTATTTAACTTCAACCAATCAATTTGAATCAATACTTTTTTTGATTATGCAATGGATATAACGTATTTTTTTCAAACTCATTACCACTGTATTATACTTACACAGCTAGATAGACGAATCGTCTTAGGAACCGAACAGCACTTTGAAAATTACAATTTTTATTGATTAAATTTTAATTGTTACATAGCACCAAAAACAAGGTTAATAATATGAAAAATAAATCTTAAAAAGGCAAGTCTTGTTAACTCATGTAGTTCCCGGAACATCAATAACTTCGCGTAAGCGTAGGCCTACTAAACCGAAATCATTAAATTAGGTCGCAAAAACGTTCAAATCAACTTTATCTTGTGTTTTCATCTATCATTTCTTTCATAAAGTAAATCAGAATAGAATTTTAAGAATTTCCTTTCAATTGTATATTGGAAAATAATTTAATAAACTAAAGTAAAACATTACGGTAATACCTGCGAAATCCAAATGAATTGTCGACTTCTGTTTCTGTCAAAATTCCAAACAGCGCCACCATTTGCAAAAACAATAATAGTAGACAACAAAGTATCGGCAACACTTACTTCCCCCGATCAGCGTTATTTTTTATAAACGGGGTTTTGGCAAGTTTCAATTAATCAATATAATTAATAATGAACTAGTAAATAAATATAAAAAAGAAATTAATACACAAAATAAGTAATATATAGAGGATATTTGTTTGTTTTGCATGTAAGACTGAAATATAATTTCACTGAGTGAACACCAGATGTCATATTTTCACGAGTGGCGTAGCCACGAGTGAAAATATAATAGCTGGTGTTCACGAATGAAATATATTTCAATCTTATATGTAAAACAAATAAATTTTCTTTTTATTTCATGCTTTTTAAGTGATTTTAAGTGTTTTTTACTGATTTTGCCGCGTAACGTCGCGCATTCTCCTTTGTGACGTCATCACATCATGACGTCACATCATTAATTTTGAAATATAGTTCTGTTAAATTTTGTTTAATTTTATTACATTTTTAACATGATGTATGGTGACATTGACTTTCTTTTCCTAAAGAAGCAAAATTTACGCATGACAGCATTTATTTCTGCCTGTTATTCCATTTCATTATGATTTTCTATTCATCCGCATTTAGATATAGTCCGGCTACAGTGAAAATTATATTTTATAAATTTCACTAGTGGTTTATCAGAATATAATTATCTGATATATTACAATAAAACACTGGAAAGCATGAAATAAAAAAGTTTTGATAATAATTAAACTGAAAATAAAACTTCAGCCATTAACGTTGAATATATATTTGAAATAGATCTGTATGGTCTTTCATAGTTGAATATTGGTTGAACAACGTCAACGTAGAGTGCCTGCTGGGATGTTTATGAAATAGTTTGTTCAATTACCATGTTATCAATTTCATTTTTATACTCCTGAAAGAATTCCGGCGTATATTGTAATGCACCTGGTTGTCCGCCCGTCTGTCCGTCTATTCGTCTGTTAGCAGGTTTTTTGTCCGGTCAGTATTTTTTTAAGGTGAAGGTCACACTTACGAGTAGTCATTCTTGTTCAATATCCTAATTGTGTGTCCGCTCTGTATATTTGAACCGAGAGAAAGAAATGCAACTATTTTTGCAGAGACGGTATTGAGACGGTATGCAGTCGACAAGTTTGGATGTCCTACATTCAAAGTTGGCCCCGCTCTGGGATTCGTTGATTTATATAGATTTATAAAGGAGCTTTCGTATCATGTCTGTATCTTTTGAACCAGTGAAAATGAATCGAAATTACTTGGCAGAAAAATTTACAATAATGAGACTATGTGGAGAGCGCAGGTTTGACCTATCTGAGGTCAAAGTCACACTTAGTCATTTTGTATCAATATCAAAATTTTGTGTCCGCTCTGTGTGTTTTGAACCGATGGAAAGAAATTGGACCTTTTTGGCAGAAAATGTACTAATATTTAGATTGTGTGCATAACAACAGTTCGGACCTCCTAAGATCAAAATTGGCACTGATCCGGTGATAAATTTATATAAAACTTATATAGGAGTTTTCATGACCGGCCTGTATCTTTTCAACCGATTAAAAGAGATTGAAACTACTTTACAGAAATGTTCACCACAATGAATCGATGTGCAGAGCTTCGGTTTGTCATGTCAATATCTAGATCACACTAAGTCATTTTGTATCAATTTCAAAATTCTGTGTCCGCTCTGTTTCTTTTAAACTGATGTATGAAATTAAATCTATTTCGCAGAAATATTTATATAAATGTGATGATGTGTAGAGTGCAGTTTTGGACTATATTGGGTCAAGGGCACATTGAAAAATCATTCAAAATCCTTACATAAGTATATATATTACGAAGGGAAATAATAATGTATGAATTTATTAACATGTTTCCTCCCAATATGTATGCACTTACCTCCCTTTTTCTAAAATATATTTTTTTTAAACTTAGAAATTTTCCTCTTAAGATTTATCAGATATTTATGTTATCAATTGAAAATGATGTTACTTTAGTAATAGTTGTTCAATGAATAACAAAACAGTTGTAAACGTGGCTTATAAAATGTCAATTAGCACCTTTTTGCCATATTGTGGACAGTCTCTCTAATTGAAAGACTGGAATGGGTTGAAGGACTGAATCATGTAAAGTTGCTGTACCTATCATATTATACATTAAAACAAAATACAGTTCTTAGTTATTTGGCATGTATCCTTACATAGAAGAAACCTGCAATTGTCCCAAAGATCATTTCACAGACATCAAAAAATGGCTGCGCCAGTTGGTTGGTTGGGAATGGAACAGTTTACATGTACACAGATTTATGTACCATACATATTTAAAAAGTATTTTCTTCCAATACTAAATATGCAGAGCAACGATTTTGAGCATGTATCATCACTTTGTTAAAGTAGACCTATCACTTTTGTGATGAATGTTTGTGTAAGTTTTGATGTTATAAATGTAAAGAGAGTTAATGAAAAGCATAGCATTTTGATTTTTATTTTTAGGTATACTATTTTTTACTTTTGATTTTCTGAAATAGAATTATTTATATGCTTCAATCTTTGAATTTTATCATTCAACATTATTGTTGTTTTCATTCAGTATATATTCTCCGTGACAATCGAATGGAGATAAATAATCACAAATATGTGCTTC